GGCCCCCTTTCTGTGCCTGCATGGCGTTTTGAACAAGTCAATGAATTACAATGAAAGTGCCTCCCCTCTTTCTTTCTTTTTTTTATTTAGTGAGCCGCTTGTCTTTATTCGCTTTTTAGCCCTGGAATAATATGTTTGACTTCTGTCCAAGAGCGTTTTCTAAACAAAAAAATGGATTTTGTTGGGAAAGGTTTTTTTTTTCTTGTGTGTGTGTGTGTGTGTGTGTGTGTGTGTGTGTGTGTGTGTGTGTGTGTGTGTGTGTGTGTGTGTGTGTGTGTGTGTGTGTGTGTTAAACGGGGAAGCCATAAAGACTTTCGGGCCTGTGACATTTCTGCCAGAGTCTGGTTAGGGAGTCCTTTTGTTTGTTTTCTTCTCATCTTGGCTCTTTATTTCTTTTTGTCTTTAAGGAGTTTAATGAAGCTGAAAACACGGAGATGTGAGAAAGAAGGCTGTCCAAGAGGGACACTCAAAGGACCAGGCCTCCCGTTTAACCCTCTTTGTCAGAAGAGGGGATAAGTTGAGCTGTCTTCTTGCCACTTGTTTTATGGTGTTTGCCTTTTTTCCCCCCCATTTATTCAAAGTGCTTCAAACGAGCCCGCCGAAAGCTTTACGGGCCAGAGGACTCTTTATACGAGCAAATTAGACCTACAAGATGAAACATTTGGATACTAACACAATTTGATATAATATCATAATTTAATAATACAAAATGTTTGAATATACGCTCTTCCTTCACAAATATACTATATATATATATATATATATATATATATATATATATATATATATATATATATATATATATATATATATATATATATATATATATATATATATATATATATATATATATATATATATATATATATATATTTATGAAGGGAGAGCGTGTTAAGGCAGGCTCAGTTTATGGATTCCACTTGCTTACTTTATGAGTGCTTGTCAGGAGGGCTCCGGCGATAAGTAATACTACAGTCTGAGGGACCACTTCGTGGTAATTAATCTGGAGGTCTTAAGTGTATTTCAGTATTTCACTTCGAGATAGAGGGGGTGAAAAAAAAAAATCACTACTTCAATCGGCCGGAAAATTGAAGTTTGATGCATGAGTCCCTACTGAAACAATAGTACTGGCCTCTCTCTTTTCATCCCACCGCGCCCCCCTCTCCCCTGTTCATTCTCTCCCCTGCTCTCTTTCCGGTCAGGTGAAAGTGTAAAGTACAATTTGATTGATTTGACCGGTACTTTTGCGCAAAAGGACTGTGTGAACAAATTATTATTATTATTATTATTATTATTATTATTATTATTATTATTATTATTATTATTATTATTATTATTATTATTATTCATCAGCATCCTAAGGGGTTTCCTCCGGCTCGGAACTGCGGCGGAGCACTCCATATTTCTAAATGGAGCCAACAAAAATGTGGAGTTTTAATCATGGCCTCTCCTGTGGAGCCAGTTAATACTTCAAACTTCAATTTTACGGGCGATTGAACTAAGCATGTTCCTGACAGAATTGATGTATGTATTAATTTCCTTTAACTGTTGATTAATTAGGCTGCGCTGAGGGCTCGAACGGAGCGGCTCCGTCTGAAATTTGCATATTAATCAAATTCTAGTTGATCACTCAAATAATCAAGGCTTGCGCGGTTTCCCGGGCGGAAGCCGGAGAAAAGTGGGGAGGGGGAAAAAAAAAACACAAAAAGAAACGGACGACGCGTCCTCGTGAAGATGTGCGCTGCAGGACGGCTCTCCGGGTGCTGAGCTCCAGCATCCCGGAGAGGAAGAGTTTGTGTGTGTGAAAGCATGAGGTCCAGGTAATAAATAACACAGCGACAAAATACAAAATATTTTCAATGTTGTCAAAACTCTACATGAAGTCAAATCATATTTTATATATGTATATATACAACATACGAAAAAAAAAATTGTTTTTGTTACTTAAAAAATGATGGATGGCTATAATTCAGTTATACAAGCACTCGTTCTGATGAATGATGACGAAAACGATCCTCCCTATGCTTATTATTGTGTTATAAATATTGTAAATCACTGCAATAATAATAATAATAATAATAATAATAATAATAATAATAATTATTATTATTATTATTATTATTATTATTATTATTATTAATAATAATAATAATAATAATAATAATAATAATAATAATAATAATAATCAGGCTTTATTATAATAAAAAATAATAATAATAATAATATTATTATTATTATTATTATTATTATTATTATTATTATTATTATTAATAATAATAATAATTGGGGTTAATGTCATTATGACATTAACCCCAATATGAATATTTTGGGGGGGGGGAACAGAAAAATTGATGAGGAACAAATAAATCACTTATTATAAATAAAATAGGCAATTTTATTCTCACCTCTATGAAATCAGATTTAAAAAAAACTTTGACAAAAATTATTCAGACAAAATTCAGTTCAAAATGCAGAAAAAGAAGATCATCTTTGACTCCATTCAGCTGCGACGAAGAGACAAACAGAGACACCTGCTGGTGAACGGCAGACTGCAGTCACCACAGTGTGATGCAATGAATGTATTTCTTTATAACGTCAAACGAATCAGTCTTATAAATTGAGGCAGGGTTACGGTTATTTCAGTTCAAAGTTATAAAGCAGCACATTTAACATGAGGGCTGTAAGATTTAACATGTAAGGAAACTGGGATAAAACAACTTTATCGCTCGTCATAGTAAACAACTGAATGTTGTTGCGTTATATGATACAAGTTATTTGAACAAAATGTATAATTGCTGCCGCTAGTTTGAAGGAGCTCTTTGTGTGTGTGTGTGTGTGTGTGTGTGTGTGTGTGTGTGTGTGTGTGTGTGTGTGTGTGTGTGTGTGTGTGTGTGTGTGTGTGTGATGGGGGGGACATCAGGGAAGATGTGCTCTCCTGTGGACTGCAACTCCAAACCAGATCATGAGCTGGCCTTAACCCACCACCATATGTCCAAAGTTTTCCAAACATGCATTTCTGAGTCAAAGCAACACTCTTGTTATGTTTTTGATAATACCATGCCATGATATCATGCTAATAATAACATTATTTTGCGTAAAACACCACAACACCTGTCAAGAATCCTTCAAAACAGTCGTTATTGATTCTGGTATCATGTCAATGGAAATAATTTAGGTAATCCTAATTCATTTAAAACAAGAAAAGATAGACTTGATGTCAAGATAGATTTGATGAAAAATACCTTTAATAAAGTTGATGCAAATATCTGGTTTGTACTATCAGTGAGGAGTAGCTTTTGTCAGTGGTTATTTGTGACAGAATCAAAACTGGTCCCTAAAGGTGGAATCTCCATTGCAAAGGAGAAAATATGGCCCCTATCTTTAAAAATAACTCCTTAGGGCCACTTTCAACATTGGGGCGGTTCTAGTTTCAATCAAAATGTCTTTATAGTTAGATGGAGAAATGACTTCTTTCAGACGTTTTTAATTCCCCCTTTTGACGTGAAAGCTGGATGAAATGTTTGAGCTCCAGCAGACATTTTTAAATCATCTTCAGTGTGATGAATCTTCCCATTTTAGTTGAAATCACAGACAATGTCAAGGGTTTCTGTATTTTATGTTTTCTCCTACATATTATGTTATTTTTAAGTTATTTAAGTGCCCAAAAGGGCTTGTTCAAAAGACCCCTTAAATAATCTAAGTTTGTTAACTACTACTGTTCGTAGTGATTTCTGTTCAGCGTTACTTTTGCCACTTAGGGCATACCGTAGTTGGGGCGGCGATGACGTCATCACATCGCCGTAAGATAGAGAACCGTTCCTGATATCAGAGGGGGAGGTGGGGTAACAGAGCTACTGCTAATACGTGAGAGGGGCAGAATATGTGTGATCGCCTTATAAGTGTGCGTTAGTGACAAGTAAGTTACTATATTTGATTGTTTGCTGAAGTTAAATGAATGATTCGGAGTTTATTTGTTAACCGTTATTTACCGTTAGGTCCGAGCGCTGTGCGATGTACTTGACAGGCGCACAGGCATTGATATTAATTCATTTGTTTTAGTTCACTTATGAATAATGATTCTGATGTTAAGCTTGTTTAGGCTTCCTTCTTAGTTTATCTAAGGTGTAATAGTAATGTGTAATGATAGAACACCTGAAACTTATTTCTGTATTTCTGTTTATTCTAGGAGACCACACACACAACTACACACATATCTGAAGCACTCACCCACACCCACCAAATACACCTTGATGTCAATTACTGTTGCTGGACTAAGATCTGAGACCCAACTTGGAATACAGAAAGTAAAAGGGATCCTGCCTCATGTCTTCCTTCTTCCACCTGCTGCATCACATCTGGTCCTGAACTGAATCCAGTCTAAGTAGTGTTCTGACCGACACTCCAGGTTGAGAGCAGTGACCAACCTGAACAGTGCCTTTAAACTATCCTACAAATTAAGAGTAGCCTCAACTACAGGGCTGTATTATCATTCTTCTTGTTATTATTATTATTTTTCTTCTTCTTCTTCTCTGCAACTTGCCACTGAAATCTGCAGTTTCCTGGAAATCTGCTTTGACAGTGTGGGCCACTCCCTCGACTCCAGAAGATGTTTTCGGATGGACTTTGTTTACGTTGTATCTACTTGACCTGCACAGCGTCGTGACGTCTGCGTCGCTGACGTCACGACGCCATCAGCAACGGCGGCATTTTGAAACAAACACGGACGTTGTATGTTTTGTCTGTTTAGAAAAGAAAAAGTTTGGCTTCACTGAACATGGTGAGATTTAACCCCTCTAACTTCATTTTATCGGTTTTCACATTTCTGTTTAATTCTGTATTTTGAATGTCTCATGTTTGTAACAAAAGAACATCGATCCGCGCCAACTGACGCCGCTCTCCAGTCAACTTTTCTCGATTTATAATGTAACCTGACTTTGCGTGGCCGCTGTTGGACGTTCGCTCGCGGGTTTCCGCGTGTTGAAGCGCCTATGTGACGGTCACGTTTCGGCCTGTGTCGCTTCCCCCTGCAGGGTGAGGTCCGGGCGGACGGAGGAGCTGCCGGGCGGCTCTCGGAGGCCGCCGAGTCCGAGCTGGTGCAGCAATGTGAGGAGCAATTTGCTCAACTGGAGAAGGTTAAACAGTCTTTTTCTCCCCACTCCGTGAATCTTAACTGCTTCGGCGAGACGCTAGAGCAAATAATAAAAAAGTGTGTTTGTCTGCAGCTGCAGAATGAAATCGTTCTGTGCGAACCGGACATCTGCGAGGATCACCAGGAACAGGTCAGCTGGGTAAAGGGTTTCATCTTCTGCATTCATCCTTGAATTCCTAAGAAAACGAGACCTTTCTGTCAATTTTCGAGGTCATTTGCTGCTTTGACGCACCTCAGTCAAATCATTTGATTAACTGGCTGCTTTGCATTTTGAAGGTGGGACACTGACGTTTGTCTGTTTACTTTTTTTTAGCCACACTTCACACCATGCAAAGCTATTCCAGATGTCACTCAATGAGTGATGGGTTAAATAAATTAACATAGTTACAGATTTTACTCATTTTACTTACACAAACTAAAGCATAACTTCACTGGCCTTTTCGCAAGCAATGTGTGCAAATTGAGGATTGTAGTGGTGCTTCTGTGCAGCAGGTATCTCTTTAGCTTGTTTTAGAGAGAAAAACTGGAATGATGGTAAACAAAATTCCAAACTTTCAGTTCCCAGAACCAGAACTTGTTAATGCAAAGACTGTTTTAGCTTGTCACTTATTTTGTATCAGTTATGTGATTGAATGATTCATTGTGGTGGTGCTCAAAACCGGACCTCTGGACTCACTGTTCTGCACATTTTAAATCAGTTTTTGGCCCAACAAACGTTCATTCTATCAGGTGTTCAGATACAATTTCTGCAGATTGTTTTGTGTAACCAATGAAACCTATTTATATACAACATTAGAAATGCATTTAAAGATACAAACATTTCAATTTCTTAAAAAAGCCCCCAACATTTAATTGCCTAAAATGCAGCAACATATTTCTTTATTGCAGGCCTCAGTAGCAATGCATGCGTCTAAATCAGGGGTGTTCAAGTCCAGTCCTCGAGAGCTACCGTCCTGCAACTTTTAGTTGCAGCCTTACTCCAGTAGACCAGGCTCAGCTATGAACAGGCCTGGTAACAAGTCATTCATTTGATTCAGGTTTGTTGTAGCAAGGATTCATCTGATAGTTGCAGGATGGTAGCTCTCGAGGACTGGACTTGAGCACCCCTGGTCTAAATAAATACTTCTGCCATCAAACATGTGAAAAGCTCAGCACTTCCTGCTTGACTTAACATTAGTACAGTGTAGAGATAATGTGTTGATTGATTTTTGAATTACTGTATTACAGATTCGATAGCAAAAGGTAAATCAGGTGAAGATAAAACTATGTTACTTGTTCTGATTAGCACATATTTACAGAAGTTTGTTTTTTTACCTTAAATACAAAATGTATTTTTTTCTTTTGTACAATTGTGACTCAGTTACTGCTCTGAACATGTTCTTCAAACAGATTTGAGTCTGTAGTTTCATCGATTACTAAATTGGTTGACAGTGATTAATCTGATCAATCGTTTCAACCCCAATGCACCAAAGGGGTGGCGTGATGGCAAAAAATATTTCAGCGGTTTAAAATTGCACCTATTAAAACCTTGTTTATAACTTCACAATCGGTACAAGCTCATTCTTGCCTGGTTTTTAAAATGATTTATATGTTGTTGCTTTCGAGTTTGTTTATTTAATTTAACTTTTTTATTTTTTCACCATGTATTTTCACATGAAACAGTCAGTAAACCGACTGGCGGTCACAGATGCTGAACTGAAGCTGTGGAAGTCCATGCAACCGAGCTGTAAGTCCTCACTTCTCCCACTCCAATGAAACCGTGGCATCATTCTACTATTTACAGCCCAAATATTAATATTAATATCACACACCACAGTCTAACTGGTATCCTACATCTTGCTTTTCTGTTCATTTTTTGTTGAGTTTGTCATGTAAGGAAAATAAAATGAAATGATGTCAAATTTGACTGAGTTTAAATGTTTTGGTGGACTGATTTATTTATTTTTTTTAACCTCTTCCACAGTGTTTGTGGCTAATGCAGAGATTTTACTTCATGCAGGAAAAGACGAGGTGTGTCCGTGTGTGAAACACAAATTTCTCAAAAATCACAAAATATTCTCCCTCTTCCACTTTTCTAAAAACATGTCCCACATGTCGTTCTCTGCAGATGCTCAAGCTCTGCTCCGAACTGGAGATGGTTGTTTCTTGTTGTGAAGCCAAGAGAGACAAACTGAGAGAGACTAAAGAGCTGTGCGTGACCTTTCCATTACCCGGCAAAGCTTTCTTTCACTACTTTCTGCTTCATCAGAGCACATAAATGTTTCCCAGGACTGAATGCACGAGACCTTTCTGTGACTTCACACTTTGTGTTTCGCCTCGTGCTTTGCAGAGAGCAGAAATGGCTGGAGGAGAAGAAGCAGGTGCTATTAGCTGCCAATGATCATATCGAACGACTTCGAGTGGAAAAGGAAAAATATTCGGAGCTCAAGTGAGTGTGATGGCAATGTGACGCCAAATGAGAGGAGACGTTCAAGGTTCCCAGGCGGCCCGGAAAGTATAGAACTCGATTCATGGATTTTCCAGGTCTGGATAGGTGTGAAAAAAAAAGTTTCATTCCAGGAGTATTCCCTATTTAATTGCCTAAATCAAATAGGGATCCCTCTATCACTCTCCTAATCTTTCTCTATGTGAAATTTTAGTTTGACGTGCAAAATGTTGTCAAAATGTAAAGGAAGTCATGGTGAAATGAAGCATTTATAGATCACCACAATGATTCTCTGGTTATTTTTATGTTCCTCCAGTATCCTTCTGGACACAAAGGCCAAAATCCAGAAAATGAAGACTTACCAGGAACAGCTGATGGAGTCACTGGGAGACATCCTGGAGAAACATGTCCCTCCCCCTCAGGACGAGTCTACTGCCAGCAAAAAGAAGAAGGTGTGTTAACCTGCCATAGTGTGGCTAATAAAGTGTTTGTTTCTCATATTAAATGTTTTCAAATATTGTTTTTATTTTCAGAACATTCCCCTGGAGATAAGTGAGGACCTTGTTCCCCTCAGTAAAATTCTTGAGGTGGGTGTGTGACGTCGATGTCAAGTTCTGTTTTAACATTGACATATTAAAACAGTCAATATTTCAATTGTTTTCTGATTTTTTTATTAGCCAAATTTGGATTAGTTGCAAACAAAATCTGTATTGTGAATACTTATTTTTTTCCTAATACCTTGCATCCCTGTTATTTTACTTCGCAAGACAATGGAAATTGTAGGTATTTACTGTTTCAGGTGGTCATAAAAATAGCTTAGACAGTGAAAATAAATAGGGCTTCACCGATTTATCGGCCGGTTGATTTATCGGTGCCGATTTCCTTAATTTGGGAGATCAGTGATCGGTTGATTTTTACATGTAAAGCCGATCTTATCCACCAACGTTAACAACCTCGGCAAAGGTCTAAAAACCGACCACTGTGCTTTTCTCTTTTCCCGTGAGAGAGGTTTGACTGACAAACCGCCTGACCAGGTCATATCTGCACGTTTACAGTTAACAATAGTCATTCAATTGTTGCCAATTCAGCAACTTTCTTGATATATTGAGCAATGTTTCAGACAAACACCTGGCATTAGTTAGGCTTTTTAAAAGATTGGTAATCAGCGATCGGCCAGAAAACTGCAATCGGTGCACCCCTAAAAACATCCATAACACGTAGCTTCTTTTCTGGTTTAGCTAAATTAGTTCCAGTGCTAAACCAGTGGCTGTATTTGGTTAGCATCAGTTCTGTTTTCACCGCCACAAACTTATTGTGGCACTGATAAACGGGTAAGAGCTTTCTTTGGCAGCTAGAGGCACAGCCAATCAAACTGTAGTCAGCGCCATATGTAAAATTCATTGGTTAGTTACATTTTTGTTCTGCTTTTATTAAAGACAAAAACAATGAAAACACAAAGCATCGATATTATGAAAAGGTTCACGTTTTCTTTTTCCTCCTACTGTTTTAGTAGAAAGAAAGAAAAGCAGAAATCCCCTCCAGTGTTACATTAAGATTAAAGTAATTAACGTGAAAAAAAGTTTTATCAAGGTTTTATTTTCTCTCAAGTTTGTAGTCTTTGCTTTAGCCCTAAAAGTGTAAGAATGAGAATAAACATTTAGTTAAAATCTCTCATTAAGCTGCATCACAGAAGTTTTTAGTAACCGTTATGAAGCTCTTGGCTGCACGGCCTGTTTTTACTTGACGAGTTTGTTCCAGAATAGTCTGAGAAAACCCAAATGCCTCTTTATCTCTAACACCTGCAGGTTCTTATGGACAAAGTGATGAACACGCCGCACGACCCTTACGTTACGATAGATCACACGTTCTGGCCACCATACGTGGAGATGCTGCTTCGATATGGGATCGCAGTGAGACACCAGGAGAATAACTTCAAGATCCGCCTGGAAACCTTCTTCTAGTTGACTGGTCTTCAAATGTTTATTTTTTAATTTTCTCAAGCACAACATGTCAGTCAGTGTCTTTTTTCATTTGTGTGCTTTTGAGCCCTGATGTTCTTTGACAAGCATCTACAGAAACGAGACAAGAGAATTACTTTTTTGTAAATATGTATTAGTTTTACAACTCATTTCTGTTTGTGTTTATTTAATTCTTATTGTAATTTTGAGATATTCTGCATTTGCAGCATGTGCATTTTTGATAAGTGAGATTTTAAAGTTCTTAAAGTTTTGTGGTCTTACTGTTCACCAAACAATAAAATAAAACAGGATCTTCTCTTGTTATTTTGGCATAAAAGTTGGTCAAGTTAAATGTAATTCAAGCTATCAGTCACCTAATTCTAATATGTTTTGTCTGTACTTTAACATTTCTGAATATGTTTGGCTTCTTTAATAAACACATTTTATGTGCTTTGCTAGGTTACTTCATTGATGTGTGTGTGTGTATATGTATAACACTAAAAGACAATGGTGAAGGTAATTTCCAAAATGCATTTTTAGTCTTATAATTCCAAGGTAGAAAAACCAGCAAATCAAATGTGTGCCTAAAATAATACTAAATATTTAGGATTTATAAAATAATTTAATGCCTAAATTATTTTAAGCATACTCGCTTGATTCAAAACCCAACTATAAAGGCTTTTACTCTTATAACATCTTGGATTTCACCTGTCAGCGAAATCCAAAAACCACTAATCACTTACTGTCAAAGTAAGTGATTAGTGGTAACTGCTTTACCTAAAGGTGATTGATCTAAAACTGATTTTCTGATCATTTATTTTAAAACAAGTTAAATTGATTAAAAAATAAAAATTCTTAGTATATTTCTTTATTGGTAGGTTCGGATAATTCTCAATAGTAATTATAAATTTCTATCCAGAATTTTATTGTTTTATTAAACCTATGTAAATATAGTGGGGTATAAAATGTTAACTTACTGTCAAGCATCAATGGAACAGACAATAGCTAACTTGTACAAATTGTTATTTAATGTGATAATTTAGAAACCATGTAAACGTTCTTAAAAATTTAAAGCGTAGGGATGGAAACGTATGCGACTCCAAGCACTGCGTCGGATGACGTCAGCACGCTCGCCCAATCCGATGCGTCCGCCTCGTCAGCTTTAGGATTCCTGTGGGCGGAGAGCAGATTCCGGTTCCGGGTGTCTTCATTTCCCAGTCGGAGGCTTTCAGACCTCCGATTATGATATTTTACCGCAAAACTTCTCTTCACTGACGACTGACTGAAACGCCGATTGCTTCACTGAAACGAGCGCCGCCGAAGCAGCGACCATGACGACCCGCTCGGAGAGAGAGAAGGCCCAGAAACTTAACGAGCAGCACCAGGCCATCCTGTCCAAAATGCTGAGGGAGGAAGACAACAAGTACTGCGCCGACTGCGAAGCGAAAGGTGCGGCGTTCACTCCGCACTCTCGTTTTATTGGTTTTGTGTTAAACGTGTCGTCTTTCAAATCCGTCGGGAGAGAAGTAGCAGCACCGCCTTTACCGTTGTGCTGCTCTTCTAAGCTAAACGGCTCAAACTGGTCAGCTGACATTTCTCCCCCCTTAAGCTAAACTAAGTTGCTAAGCAGCGAGCTAACTTCTGCAAATCTACCCAAGCTCCCCCGCCGCTTTAACGAACACCGACTCGTCTTCCCGGGAAAACCCTGGCTTGTTTTCATGCTGGGACACGTTTTTAAAAGCTTTCCGTTTCGGCACCTCAGCTGAGCGCATGATGGGGCATGTTTGGTGGTGTCGTTCCTCTGGAAACGTCTCGCTTTATCACTGTTTTCAACAGGTCCAAGATGGGCATCCTGGAACCTGGGAGTTTTCATCTGCATCCGGTGTGCAGGCATCCACAGGAACCTGGGAGTACACATATCCAGAGTGAAATCAGTCAACCTGGACCAGTGGACCTCAGAACAGATCCAGGTACTGGTTCCTGTCCGTGACTGAGGAGGTCAGCGGAGTATCCAAACGCATTGGAGGAGCAATCATGTCAAAGAGCCTTTAAACGATACCAGGATTTATAACATGACACGCTGGGGAAATTTATGGCCAATGAATTCGTGTGATAAATTTAAGACATTGCCATAAAACATTCAAAGATTGTCCTCAATATTTTTATAGTGGTTCCACATAGTGACGTGTTGATTTCTAACATTTCTATTAATTATCAAAGAGGTTACATTAGTTTCTGGAGGATGCAAAATTAGTCCTGCAAAAATCGAGAATATTCAGACCTTGACAAAAAAGGCATTCAGCTGCCATTCGTTTAAAAAAAAAAAACTAAATTCTTAACATTAAATGAAGCACTTCCATTTTTTGTGTGAAATCCACACTTTACATTAGCTAAATAGGTTTGTTATGTATCCTTTTATTTGATGGAGCAAAAAACCAAACTCACTGACAATGTTTCTTTCCTACTTCTAATTGTCTTGTCTGTCTGGTAAGCTGGCTATTCATGTTATAGTAAAGCAATATTTAGCTTTTATTTATTGTTTTCATTTATGATGTGCAGACTCAAAATCAATTAAATCAATGCCAAACACCAAAACTTTGATGTTGAAGTAAAAAAAAAAAAAAAATCCAATTATTTTCTGTTTTCCTAAACCTAGAGCATCTTCTAGGTTTTGATGCAAAGTGATTGAATATTGCAACCTGCTCTGAGGAATCTTATAGGAAAACAAGTTACTGCTTATAGCTTGGTAATTTCAGCTTACTGGTAAATAGAAGTCATAATTTTCATCAGTTCCCAAAAAAATACAATATCATGTTGTTTCACCTCTAACTAAAAGCTCTAATTTATTGTAGCTATGGGAATCTGACAAGCCAGCCACAAAAAATTGTTATTTGTTGTGTCATCTGACATGAAAGTAGCAAAGAAAGCGTTGAACTGAACAGCAGCTGAAATCTGATCCTAGTGAAGAATTTCATAACCTTCCACTGTCAAATCTACTTGATGTGATTTTTGTCAGCAAAATTCAGGATAATCTACAGACGGGAAAAAAAACTGCATCTGCCCCTATCAACTGTTATTATTAGTAGACTAAATATATTTAAAACAAATGATTATACTCCTGAATTGTCGATTTGTAGTTTCAAACCAAGTTGTGTCATCTTGGGTATTTAAGCTGTGCTTTACAGAAATACTTCTGGAGAAACAAAGGAGGCAGGGAAGCATACTGTTTTCTCAGTTATTGTTTTAACATTCTGAGATGTCATATTAATAAATATGTGCTGCCCATTAGTTTGGCATTTATTAACCAGAAATAAACTATTCAGACACAAGAATGGTCATGTACTGGAAGCCATAACACAGCTAGAAAACACTTGGTGAAACTTTTAAGCTACCCAACTTCAGGCTTCCTAATATAGACGACATGTTGGAGGGAAAAAAAAAGTCCCACTTTGACAAAGCTCTGCCAAACAAACTAGATGCAAAACTGCTGCTTATACTTTCAGACATGGTGGGGCAGCACAGACTCTGCTTCAAACGTTTCTCTGATAATTCTGATTTTATATCACTGAGCTTATCTGCTGGAGTCTGTTTGATTGCTGACTTTACACTCTCTTATTTCCCCCCTTTTTTTCTCCAGAGCATACAGGAAATGGGTAACACCAACGCCAGGCAGCTTTATGAAGCCAACCTTCCAGACAGCTTCAGAAGACCTCAGACAGACCAGTATCTTTTTGCCGTCAGCTGACACTGAAACCCAACATTCCCCTGCTCTTATGGTGTCTATGTTCTGCATCTCTGTTGCTCAGTTTCCTCCTTAACTGCTTCTCTCAGAGCAGTTGAATTCTTCATCAGGGACAAATACGAAAAGAAGAAATACTACAACAAGAATGCAGTCATAAGAAGCAGCGTACGTATTGAGGATCCATATAAAGCTCCCCCTACACAAGCATTGGCACCCCTCGTAAAGATGCGTAAAAAGCCTTAAGATTTTGTTTCTTTTTTTGTAGCAGAATAATCACACTCTGAAGTTTTAAAGAAACTGTTTTGAACAAAATTGTTGATGAGGTCGCCAACAATTCCTATTAAATAAAACCTCAAAAGAGTGTATAAAATACATGCAACTGAATAATTTTTCAAACGTATATTCAGTTTTTTTACTTTATGAGCGGACTGTCACCACAACCCTAAAAAGTCTCAAATTAGCTGTTGAGACTACCGATGGCTAGCTGCTAATATACCCTTTCTGGCTATCGATGGGACACAATCAAGACAAAAAGTTAGAACTTGTTTCAACTTTCTTGTGTCTCGTCGCAAGCCCCGCACGTTTACGTTGCTTCCCGTGTGTCGAGCCCTTTAAGCGCAAATGTATTCATTTATTTTCGCCACTGGCTCACTCCCGTTGTCAACCCATGAGAGGCTAGGTTCGTGCTCTGCAAAAAATGCTTTTAATATTGGCACCATGAGGGTTAAGACTGAAGAGAGCTATGTGCAGTGTGATGAGAAGCACGCTGCGTATGCCACAAACACCCACCCAGAAATTTCACATTTGAGCATATAGACACTGAAGTCAACATAGTCGCTCCTAAAAATGGGGGGAAACAAGAGAACTTCGAAGTAAGAGGTTGAGTCAAGAAAGTTGTCTATGGAGTAATGATTAAAAGTTTTAAACTACTAAAACTTTGACCTCCCACTGTGCGGAGGATGGTCAAAGAGGTAAAGTAAAATCTCCACAAGTCTCTGGAGAACAAAATAGAGAGGCATCTTCGGGGGTGTTGTCACATGGTTGCTGTATCAACAGTTCGTCTTGAGCCTGTTTTACGCATCTTATCAGATAAGGCTGAAGATGAAAGAGGTTTCAGTTGTTCAGGGTTTTTTCTGTGTCTTGTGTCGTCAGCCAAAAGATAGTAAGAAAGAGAAGGAGCCGGACAGAGGGAGCAAGGTGTCTTCCTACGCCAAGGTGAGTTAGGAGCACACACAAACTAAGCCGTTTGAGTTGTTTTCTGCTTTTGCTGCCTTTTAAGTTTTGCTTTAAATATATATTTTGCTTTCAGAGTGAAGAGTCCAGGCCAGCTCCCAAAATAAGTCCTGCAAAGTCTTCAGAGCCCCCTATGAACCTACTAGGCCTTGGTGAGTGTAAGATGTGTGAACTCATGTGTTATTAGTTAGAAATCTAGGTTTAAAAACATGCTAAAAAGCATTATTTTCTGTTTTATTTTCATTTTGCTTGTGTTGGGACTGCAGTTGAACTACTCCAGGAATATCTTATATTTACAGTTGTGCTTAGTAAAAATGTTGGTGTTTGGCCATAGTGGCTGGCCATAGTTCACTATGGCCAACACATGTCATGGTGTTGCCAACAGTCACTGTTTAACCACCTGTGGTAGATTCATTTTTGACACTTTGTTTTGATCGAGCCAATGAGTCAGAGAGAAAACTTCCTCTGCCAGACCCGATCAGAACAGATATGC